AGCGGCGAGGTGACGTCCCCGCCGTGGCGGGCTCCCTGCTAAGACTTGCATGGTACTAGATTGGTGTCTTTCCTTCCAGCCGGTGACCTAGGTAAGTGCCTTCCGTGGAGTGTCTCCTGTCACCCTACGCCTTCCTGGAGCAGAAACGCAGACGCAGCCTCAGCTCTGAAGAGCCCTGCTCGCCCCGCGGCGGCTCCCTCCCCGCCGATCACCCGCTGACTCGGGTCCCGGGGCCTTGGGACGCGACACCCTGAATTGTAAACATGTTTCATCTCCTTCCCATGAAGCGTGGTCTCGCTTTCTTCTTCTTTTTGATGAATAAACGTCTATTTATATCGCGGAACAGGGGGACTTGCTAAGAAATTTAAGAGTGTGGACAGGTGCTGCAGGGGTTCCGTGGGAGAGCCGCCCTGATGGCCGCAAGCCCTGCCAGCGCCCGGCTCCTTGGTGTGGGCCGGTAGAGTGCAGTTCACCTGCTGCTTCAAACAATACTTGTCTAAACCACTGACGTTGCTTTTTTGTCGTTTCCTTAACATGCTCCCTCGTTAAGGAACATTAAGGAGCGCGGCTCCCACCGCAGTCTGCAGAGTAACTTACCGCGTGTTTTAACCTCGCGGGTCAGCCCTCGTGTACGCTTTTGCTAGTTTGCCGCTGAGATCAGAGACCGTGGGGGGTGGAAGGGAAACCTGAGCGGCACGGGTGGCGTTAAGGATGACCGGACGTGTGAAACGTGACGCCAGCTGTCGACGGTCACCGACTTGGGTGGCGTTGGTTTACGTGTATGCAGGGATCTAATTTTGTTAATAAACTGTTCTTTGTTCGTTGCTGTATTTTTGGGTATAACTTTACTATAAAGCGCACCTCCAGTTTGGGACCCAGCAGCTACTTCCTGCCTGGCCTGTCCCCGGTCACCGTCTGCTTGGCGTTTCCGTGTGGCGGTCACGCAGATCCCCGAGCTGCCACCTAGAAGGTGTGACGTCTCCTGGGTCAGGAGCTGATGGAAGGTCGCAGTAGAGACCCCTGTCCCTGACACAGCTCTTTGATTTTCTAAGCGAGTGACTGTTGAGCCTTCTCTGTAGTAAAATATAGTTTTATGTGTGGAGGAAAAGAGTGGAGACACACAGAGACCCCGCTCTTTGTAATACGAAGTACAGGAAAACTAGAAAAATACAAGGAAATCTTACCGGGTGGGGTCCAGGCAGGGTGAAGGCAGGACTTAGTGTAGCACCAGTTCTCGGAGGCGCTGAAGTTGTGGGTTTGGGTTTAAAAATAAACGAAAAAGGTTGAAGAGCACCACTCAATGCATTATCCTCCAGAGACCCAGCTCTGTCCTCAGGACGTACTGCGCACGGACACCGTTAGCGCATGCCGGCAAGAAATAGCTCTTCCCTGTGAGGAACTAGCCGCGAAGGGAAAGGGCAGGGCGGCCCCTCCCCGGGCTCCGTGCGGTGCGGCCGTCCGGGGCGTCCAGCCTGCAGCCCGGGCTGGGGGCCGGGGGTCAGCCCAGGACAGAGCCAGGGCCACCCTCCTGCCAAGGGGAGTCTCTCCAGAGGGTCAGCTGGGTGAAGGACAGACATCCTCTTAATTTTTCAACTGAACTGAAGAGCGTGTGCGGCTGGGTTCACCACGCGGCATGATCGCTGCCTGTGCAAAGCCGGCGTGCTGCCGTGGGAGGCTGTGTGAGGCTGCACGCCCGCCCCGCACGCCGTGATGTGTGTTAGCCGGTTTCGGCAAACGTCTGTGCGCCCCACTTGCAGACATGGGTCCCTGCTGTCCCTTCCCCGAGGATGGATGGGGCGGCACCACACTTTTGCTTAGTGTCCCGGGCGGCTTGTGAGGGACTCGCACAGGACCTCACAGTCCTCATTTCAGACCGGGACCTGGCGGGCCGGCTGCATCCTTACATCCGTCCTACTTCTACTGCGGGGGTCCCGCCTCCGAGCGGCCGTGCTGGGGTGGCAGGCGGGGGGAACCACAGCTCCGCGTGTGCGGCACCACAGAGCGCCATGGCGGCGAGTCCTTTCAAAGCTGCACTGGGCATCGTACGACCCTCCGACCACTTCTAAATGCCAGGTAATAAGAAAACAGGTGGGCGTCAGAATTACCACCTTGTGCCACGCGGTGCCAGGCAGCCCCATCACTTGAAAGTCAAAGCACGTCAGAGGGGAGCCGGGTCCTGTGGGCATCAGAAACCGCCGCCCCCCACGGCGTCTGCTGTTACAACCGGCCCGAGGGCTCCCGGGCGTTTCCAAGGGGAGTGACGTCACTTGAGCGGATTTGTGTAAATGCTCGTTGGAACTCCTTGCCCTTTTGGAAACAAGGCTTTTTTAGAGGAAATAACACATAAAACGTGCTTTGTGGCGCTGGGACACATTACCTAAGTGAACAGCACAGAACGCAAAGGAGAAGACGAAACAGCGCAAGGCCGCGTAACGCCATGAGAAGTCGGCCTCGGCTGGTTTCCGAATCGGCCGAAAGAGGCGCGCGCTCGGGAAGGAGGCCAGCGCCCGGGAGCCGCGTCTGCTGTCTGACCCCCTCGGTGACCCCCGGACCAGGGCAGCGGGCTGGCGCAGGTGGGCACACCCAGACGTAGGTGACCACGCCGTCCCGGTGAAGACCCTCCCCAGTCTCGGAAACTGCACTCTCTCGGTGCCGGGCTGATTTTCCAGGGGCTCCGGGTCCCAGCAGAACGGGCTGGACAAGGTGGGGTGGGGCAGCAGACCCTGTGTGGGTTTCTGAGAATCGCACTGTCAAGTCCCCGACCCGTGGGACTGCGGCGGCAGAGGTGCAGGTGGACAGGGGGTAACGATTCTGCAAACCCTCCCCTAACTCCCCGAGGGCTCAGAGCTGTGGCCGTTAGTCCTTAAAAGTAGGTCCGTGTCTTAACCGAAGGGGTTTCCACTTGACCCGTGGCAGTATCTGGGGACGGGGTTCAGGTTTGGATGGGCGATGCTTGAAGCCTGGGCTTGTGAGGGCAGGAGTGTCCTTTGGGGAAGGCGTGTGGCCCGGCTGCTCCCACGTTCCGAGGTCAGAGGGAGAGGGGTGGGGGAGCCCCCGCAGAGGGGAGCAGAAACCAGTCTGTCCTGCTGCGCAGGGTGAGTGAGACTTGGGGGCCCAGGTGGGCTGGACGGCGGAGCCTGCAGGCCGATGAGAGGGGCGGTAGCCGGGGGCCGTGCGGGCCACGGGAGGTCTGCACCCCTTCCTTTAAGAAGGGGGAAGCGACGAAGCTTTCCGAGTTCCCAGCGTCTGTATGAAGTGAACGTTAACGGTCGTGGGACGGTGGTGGAGTCCCAGCGCGGCGTTCTCGGGGCCTGGGCTGGGGTGGGCGGCCGCGCTCGGTTCTGGTGTTTGCCAAGGAGCCCGACCCTGCCAGGAGGGGCCCCCAGGGTGCGGGGACACCACCTCTATCCTTACACTGTTACCAAAGCCTGGGGGAGAAATGCGGGGGCCACACAAACTGGGGGAGGGAGAAAGGCACAGGACAAGCTACGCACCCCCCACAAGTCTGCACAGTGTGGCCAGATGCGACCCCAGACGCGCCCCCAGACGCGCCCCCAGACGCAGCTGTGAGGGCACGAGGGGCCGGACCCTCCTGTAACAGATCTGTCTCTTAGGAGCCGTCCTGTCAGAGAGAGAGGTGGCTCTGTGCCGGGTGGAAGGGTGCCCACCCCGAACCCGTGAATGCGACCTCATTTGGAAAAAGGATCTTTGCAGATAGAAGCAAGTGAAGGTCAAAGATGGGCCCTAAATCCAGTACCGCGATGTTCTTGTGAACGGGGGGGAATTGACGCAGAGACACCCAGGGGGACGGTCACACACGACGGAGGCAGAGGGCGGAGGGGCGCTTCCACAAGCCGAGGACCCCGCGGTGCCAAGAGGCCAGAGGCGGCGGGAGGCGCTCTGCCCCTGGCCCTTCAGAGGCGCGCCCCGCCGACACCTCGAGGCCACACCTCTGGCCTCAGAGAAGGCCTGCCATGGTAACCCATCCAACTTGAGGACCGCTTGTCACGGTGGCCGCTGAGAGCCCACCCAGCGCCCCGTTCGCGGCCGTCACAGTGCTGGTAGCCGGGGGGCCGACAGCAGAAGCCATGTATCCTCGGTTCTGCAGGGGAGAAATCTAGCTCGGGTCTTGCTGGACCTGAATCAAGTTCTTGGCGGGGCTGCCTTCCTTTCTGGAGGCGGAAGAGCCCAGGGTGACACTTTTTGCCTTTTCCAGCCGGGGGTGGGGGGCCTGCCCGCAGCCCTCGGCCGGGGTCCTCCCCTCCAACTGCAAAGCCAGCAACAGCACGGAGACTCACCCCCATCACCCTGCCCTTCTCTTCTGCCTCCTCCTTCCACTTCTAAGGATTCTTGTGGTGACACCGAGCCCACGTGGATAACCCAGGGTGACCTTCTCAGAGCTGGCTGATACGCACTCGGAGCTGCCTCTGCCAGGTGAGGGGACGTTCACAGGTCCCGAGGGTTCGGACGTGGACACCGCTGGAGGCTGTTCCTCTGCCTGTCCCGGGCTGACAGAATTCAGGAGCTCTGAAGCCTCTGGATGGGACCTGGCGTGTTATCCCAGGGGAAGTTCGTAATAACTCAGAATTATCTTCCACACACATTCGGTACAAATGCTAGAATCGTCCCCTCTCATTCTGTCAGTGCTGATAGCCAACAAGATTAATAAGTCATTTGGACAGATCCAGACATGAATTTTTATACTCGGTGTCGAAATTAAATTCACCGATGGGTGCAAATGTGGACTTGAGCAGAAGTAGCGTCTGATCTTGAAAACAGAATTAGGAAGAGGACGAAGTCCCCTTCCACCCCGACCGCCGGGCCGGCCACACCGCCGGGCCCGGCTCACCGGCCCGAAACAGGGGTGGCCCTGTTCCCTGGCTTCCTTTCCAGGTTTGGTCCAGGATTTTAATTTCTCTAGGTTCCAAACATAGAAGTAATGTGTTCCTGAAGTCCAGGAAATTCCAGCCAGCCATTTGTATCAGTTGAAAGGGGGAGGGGTGTGGCTCAGTGGCAGAGCGCATGCTTATTAGCTATGCATGAGGTCCTGGGTTCAATCCCCAGTGCCTCCTCTAAGATAAATAAACCGAATTACCTCCCCACGCACAAAAGAAAATAATACAATAATAAATAAATAAAATATTTTACCCTTCATCTTAACCAAAACGCCGAGAAGCGATAAAAAAAAAATACTTTAAAAATGGGGGGAAAAAAGTTAAACAGGAGCTGCTCATTACAGCAAATTGAGCACCACTTGATCACACCCACGTGGCTCTGAAGCCCAAAAACCCAGAGGTGAGGGAGGGGTGAATCCTGCTTGTCCTAATTTATCCCTGCCCCACCCCCGAGTTTATGATTTGATTTTTCAGGTCCAGCGGATCATCACGAGGCACACTTTAGATATCTTACAGTTTTGTTGCTCGGTTAGACCCTTGAATGTTGATAAGCCCCTTCTCCTGCCCAGAGCTACAAAGGGCAGCTCCTGGGACCCAGGCCACCGAAACCTCCGAACCCCACGCGCGCTTCCTTGGGGAGTCACACTATCGGCGGGGCCGCACCTCGGACTTAACATCCGTCATCCCCTTATGCTCTTCACGGGTGTGACTGTTGGTGAGTCTGGAAACCAAAAGGAAGTAGCCACACCCTGGGAGCCACTCTTGTCCCCAGTCTCAAACCCGGGCCAGCCTTCCTGGGCCTGGCGGCCTCTGAGAACACAGTCCCCCGGGGATTCCTGGATGATGCCGTCCGTGTTCAGTCTGGGAGACTCTGTCGCCCACGGAGCGCCCATCACTTGAAATGAATGCATGGAGCGGCCATCCTGTGGCTGGAACAGAGCAGTCAGTGTTGTCCCCACCCTTACAAGCGGGGCAGGTCGCCCTTCACTTAAGGGGGCCTCTTCAACAAAGCTAAGTGGGAGCCGGCCCTGGACCACGAGTGTTTCCTCCACTCTGTTAGCTGCAGGTTAAAACTCAGATCGGCCTTGTGTTCGGCTGAATACTGGCTCACCCCCAAAGACGGCCACGTCCAGACCCCTGGAACCTGTGAACATGTTCCCTCACGTGGCAAGAGAGGAAGCTGTGAAGACGGAGAACATCCTGAGTCACCTGGGGGAGCCTTTGGAATCACAAGGCTTCCTTAGACATGAAAGGAGGAGGCAGGAGATTCAGGGTCAGACGTGAGGACAGGAAGGGACAGAGGGATGCGGTTGTCGGCTTTGAAGACGGAGGAAGGGGCCACGAGCCCCTTGGCTCTTGCACGACTCAGCTCACTGCCCTCCCCCTTCATCCTGGCCCCGCAGTGTCTCCCCTCCACCTCTCAGCCCAGGGCTTGTTCATTTCTGGGGTGAGGCCCCCACCGGGCTCCCCACGAGCCCAGCAGAATCTCTGACGGCTTTTGACTAATTGCAGGTGGGCGATGTATCTCAAGCCACCTCAGTGTGCCGGAATTTACAGCTTCAGTCCTGTCTGAGCCATTCACCATTCCTGGAGCTGAAAGCGAATGCGCACACTTCAGGGATGATCGGAGAAGCCTCCGGGTGGATTTATGCTTGCCATTTGAAATTTTAAACCCAAACCAAGCTAGTTGGACCCAGAGGACTTCTTGCCTACTGCTCTTCAGGGCTCAGATATTTCAAAGACATAAACCAAACCCCGGAATTCAGCAGCTTCCTAATGTCCTGGACACCATGTGAAGCGCAAACCATCCATCACTCACAGCTGAGCCACGATGCCGCCAGAAACAGGAAAGTCAGAGAAGGAGAATCAGGCTGGTTCCCGTGGATCAGCGGTCACGTTCATTCAGTCACTCAACAAACACCCCTTAGCCACCTACTGTGTGCTAGCTCTTTAAACCTGGGGTGGGGGGTGTGCAGCAATGAACGAAACAGTGTCGGGTCTCCTGGAACTCAGGTCTTAGGGAGGCAGACAATAAACATGAGAGCAAACAGCGTTGCAGAAAGCGTAAGGATTTTGTCCAGAAACAGTATAAGATGATCAGATAGCACGCTCAAGCGTGGTGAGGCAGCTGGACGCAGGGCAAGGCTTGGGGCAAATCGCTTCCCGGACTGGGCCAGCAGGTGATAAGCCCGTCAGTTACCATTTCTTACTTGCCCTGCCCTCTAGTGGCTTAAAACAGAACTACAGGCTATTTTCCAAAACTGCTAGGACAGTTTTCGAAAGCCCCTGATACCAAAGTCACATTGTTGAAGGGTACAAACTGGGAACGAGTGGATAAATAAGTCCTGGAGATCTGTCACACGGCATAGTGATTACAGTCAACAATACTGTATTATCAACTTCAAAGCTGGAGAGAGAGTAGCTCTTAAGTCGCTCCCAGCCACAAGAAGGAAATGATACATATGTAACGAGATCGAGGTCTTAACGAGATAGAGCCTTGCAGCTTATAAATGTGTCAAGTCAACATGTGCACCTTAAACCTACACAATTTTATATGCTAATTATCCTTTAATTTAAAAGAAATGTTTAAAAAATGGGTAGAGAAGAAAAATAGTTAGAATCCACCAAAATGTCTATAAGAAACTTGGTCACTCAAGTCATTTTTTCCCCCCAAACCTCAGGATCAACATAAGTATTGAGAACTACTTAGAGTGTATTAGTGCTAACATAATAAGTTACATTTATCTTTAGTTTTATTTCACTTTCTCGCGCAGGGGGGCCCCTCTTGGAAGATGAGCCAGTACGTTTCCCCGTGGCCGAGGAGATCACACACAGGTGTACAGTTTCCTAGCCTTGCAGGGACGGACATGCTGGCTCTGAGAGCGCAGCCGCGTCCGTGAGCCCGCATCTCCCCGGAGGAGAGCCTGCAGGGTGATCTCACAGCAGGAAAGGGGGACGGGGATGAGAGACCGGAGATAGGAGAGCAGGTAACAGAGATGTCCCCGAGCTGGCCGCTGCCTGGCGCTGGGCTCCGTGGGGCCTTCTGACATGCGTCTCGGAGTCTTCTGCCTGGGGGCACAGGAGGACAGCCCATCCATCCATCAGTCCCGTCCCCCACTGCCCAGTGAGGCATTCACCCCCGATGGTTTCTGGGCTGCTGAGGGTGAGTCCTGGGCGGGTCCCCGAGCATCCCACCCCAGGAGTCAGGAAAACCCGAGGATAAGAAGCCAGAGGCCCCCTGGCCCAGCCAGTGGGGCCGAGAGGTTCTGAAGCAGGGAGAGTGTGTCTGGGACACTGAGGTGACGGCAGCTCACCGGGAGGCTTCTAGGAAGACATCTCGGGGGCCGAGGGCACCCCCACAGGAGAAAAAGCAGAGGCCGTCGCTCGCGGGCTTTGAGGCAGACAAGCCCTCCGGACTACACCTGGACCCCTCCCGAGATGGAAAGTGCCTGGCAACGAGGAGCAGCGGCTTCCCCGAGCATCCCGTGCGGGCATCCTCCCCTCCTTCAGCCGCGGAAACACTTCCTCAGGAAGGAGGTCCCTGAGGGGCCCGTGTTGACGCCTGCAGGATGCGGGAGCCGTGCGTCCAGACCCGCTGGCCGGCCTGGTGGAGCTGGTGCTCCCTGAGGGCTGGAGGGAGGCGCCTGCGTGGTGTTCCGCCAGGAGAGCGTCTGTACAGGTTCACCCAGTAGGTCAGTTTCTTGAGGCTGCTGTAACAGATGGCTACAAACTCTGTGGCTTAAAACAGATAAAATTGATCCTCTCACTGTCCTGGGGGCCACAAGGCCGGCGTGAGGCGTGGGCAGGGCCGTGTTTCTTCCAAAGACGCCCGGGGAGGCCCCTTCCTGCCTCCCGCACCTGCCGGGGCTCTGGGCTCTCTTTCCCTGGCTTGTGCAAGGCCCGCCCTGCCTTCCTAAGCTGCTCCTGTGCGTCTCTGCGTCCTTCTGTGTCTCTTATGAGGACACCCGTTGGACTGAGGGCCACCTTTATCCAGTGTGACCTCATCTCCATCCTTACCTCGCTGACATCTGCAAACCCCTATTTCCAAACGAGGTCACACTGTGCGGTTCTGAGTAGATGTGAATTTGTGTGTGTGTGGGGGGGTACCAAGCGCCTAACGTCGAAAAATGAGATTTTTATATTTAAAGAATCCGTACTTCTGGAAATAGGTCAGGATGGGATCCCGGCCCCTGGGGCAGAAGCTGGAGCCGCCTCCTCTGGAAGGGACGTCTTTCTGATTTGTCGCAGCACCTGCCTCTCAGAGGAGGCCGGCGCACACCTCTGCCAGGCCGGCTAATGCATGTCTCTCACCTGCTGGGGCCGGGCAAGCTCCAAGTGTCTGGCCCTTCATGTGAGACGATTCAGTAGTCAGCAGAGACGGCTGGATACGTAGCTGGTTTATTACGGCCACAATGAAACCAAACTGCCTTTTCTTGAAACGTTCGTCAGCATAAAAAATATACAGTTCACACTCCAGTCCTGAGAACCTTCATAATGGGGGTCACAGGTTGGAACACACCACCTGGGTGCATTTCTCTGTTTGGGGCAGACGATTCACATTATGGCAATTTACATCATTGAATGGAGTAGAGCCATTGCTCCCCACACTCATCAGCCCGGATCGCTCTTACCTCCTGGAGAGGGAATGTTTATCCAGGAGACAGACCCTATGTGGTCTTACTTTTCTGCCCTTGGTAGGAAGGAATCTGACTCATGTCGCCTCTTGCCCCACAAAGGTCCAGTCTTGAAGAAATATGTTACTGTCATAAAGTTATGGGTGACAGAACTCATTGACTTAAATCAGTGAAAAGCCCAGACAGAGAGTTCAGGTACGGCTGGATCCAGCAGCTCACTTCAGTTTTACCTGTGTCGGCTTTACTCTCAGCCTGTCTTTCCCCATAAGATTAGAAGAGTTCCTGATCTCCAGGAGCTGCATGCTTTCACTCGTCCAGCTCTGAGCCCAATGAACACAGGGTTTCCGTTTCCCAGAAGTTCCACCAGAAGTCTTCGAGTTGCTCTCCCCGGCTCTCCTGGCAGGATTACCGACACCCGCCCGCCATCGTGGCCAGGAGGGAGCAATGCTCTGATCACCCAGGACAGAGTCTCAAGCTGCCGTGGAGACTGGGTCAGACTCAGCTCCCACAAGTGAGTCCCAAGGGAAGCCTGGGAGATGGTCCCCACAGGAGAGGGACTGACACGTGTTACATACGCTGGCACCCAGTCCACCTGCCGGCCTCTCTCAGGACTTCAACCCTTCGTGCAAGTTCAGGGCCCTCAGTGGTCAGTCTCCCTGTGCTTGTCAGAGGGGTTTACCCATTTAACTAGTGGATAATCTTGCCTGAGTTGCTTTATCTTAGTCTCTAAGCAAGATGCCCCAAAATACCTGAAGTTCTCATCCATCTCACAAGTTGCCGTCAGAACTAGATGAGATCTTTTCATTAAAATGGAAAAACACAGAGGCTGAACCTAGGAGACGTTTGCCCAGCCTCATCCAGTAAGACCTCACCTGAACTTGAGTCCATCTGCAAAGACCCTGTTTCCAAGCAGAGTCCCACTCGCAGGTCCCGGGCTGAGGACTGGGGCATCTTCTGCAGGATGCAGTCCAGCCCACAAGACAGGGTATTATTTATTTACTATTTTTCTTTAAACCAACTCTTTTTTTTCCTGCTTAAATGAGAGCAAGCAGAGTTGGGAGTAGATTTTCAAACAGACTCCCTGTTTGAAAGCCACTTTCTAGCTGCGGGAGGAGGACCATCATTTTGTGTGTCTCCTTGTTGAGAATGATCAGATCTGCCTCATAAGCCGGTCATGAGAATTAAATCCACACACACGTCCCCTCCAGTGCCTGGCGCGCAGGAGCGGGGAGCCGTGGTCGTCACAGGGTTTGCTGCAACGGAGCAGCAGCGTCTCCGCGCGTGGAGGACCACGACCACCCACCAGCCACAGAAGGGAGGCATCAAATTAAACACCACGAACCCAGCTCCACACAGTGCTGCCAGCGGCTCAGGTCTTCAAGCAGGGCTGTGGGTCCAAGCCAACCCCGCGTCTGGGGTGTCCAGGGGGATCTGAGGAGGCAGCGCCTTTTGGGGGCTTCGGGTCGATGTCACTGCACGCCATGCGCCGTCCTCCGTCTGCAAGCTGAGCTCGTGTCCCCGAGCAGCGGGATTCCTGCTTCCTTCACCTTCCAGTTGTCACCCACCGGTGGTGGTGGGGGGGCGGGGTGGAGAGCGGGGGCTGGCCGCGGCTTGTCCGTGAGGGGTTCCGAGGGTGGGGGCGGGCCACCTCGCTGCCGCCAAGCCAGGCCAGCGCATCTGCAGGCAGGCCCGCTCAGCCAGCTCGGGGGGCTGGTTTGGCTGCTGCGGGAGGAGCCGCCTTTGCTCACCCCAGGGGGTTTGGACCACAGTCCCCCCAGAGCAGCCCTTGCTGTATCAGCTGCTGGAGCGGGGACGAGGGGGTAACACAGCTGTTCCCACCGCGGCATCCCTGAGCTCCCAGCGGTGGCCCAGCCTGCCCCCTGGACCTGGCAGTGACTCACGGCCCTGAGAGACCTGCCCAGGCCAGTGTGGCGGGAGCAGAGGGTGTCAGGGAGACGGGTCGGGTGCGGCTGGATGGAGCAGGGACTTAGGACCCGGAGTTTTCCTCCGAGCGAGCCGGCGGGGGGCCATGGGGTGGCTTTGAGCCGGAGAGCAACGTGATCTGATTGAGGTTTGAAAAGACTCACTCTGTTCACTGGAGAGAGAACAAGTCCTGGGGACCGAGCACAGACATAAAGGAGAACTGAGGAGGGGGCGTTTTGGGGGGGCAGCGCTCAGGGGTAGAGCACGCTCCGCACGCACAGGGTCCGGGGTTCAACCCCCAGCACCACCACTAAAATAAACAAAAATAAACGATGACCCTAGTTACCGCCCCCCAACAACAAAAACATGAAAGAAAATCGTAAAATAATAATTTGAAAAAAGAGGGAGCATTTCCACCGTGACGCACTAGGAGGGAGGCTCCTCTCACGTCCTGCCTGCCCCGCACACCTGAAGCCGTTCTGACCACGCTCCCATGCCCCGCGGCTTGGCCTTACAGGATGAGGGCGTTTCCATCGGCGGAGATGTGCTGGGAAAAGAGAGGAAGCAGCGCGTTGCTGATGGAGGCAACACCACCAGCCAGCAAAGCCGCAGACGCTGGAGAGTGTCTGGGAAAGGTATTACACGGACCAGTGAAGCCCGCCCCCCAGGCAGGACGCCTACGCCTCGCCCCTCCTGTTCCTGCAGAGGAAATTTCCACTCCTCGCCCCAGGGAGGATGGCAGAACGATGGATCATCCAAACCAAGACACCTCTGGGAGAGAGCGCTTTAAACGTGATTAACACCCTGTGCCTTTAAAGGTATGTTTATGGGCTGAAAATTCAGCGCCATGGTGTTGGTGGACCTACACCATCTATTCAAAAATTACTTTAAAGAATGCAACGCTGTCTACGACATATGTGCTGGATAATTGTGCATGTTCCAGGAAAAACGTGACATTCTTTACATTAATTGGAACAATTTATACGACGCCATCTTGTGTAAATATTTCATATGAATTTTAAAATAACATAAACCGGCCAATTAGCGTTGGTGTCTGTATTGATCAGGGTTCTCCAGGGAATGAAACTAATGATCGATCGACTGATTGACTGAATTTGAGGACCTGGCTCACGTGATTCTGGAGGCTGAGAAGTCCCACCGTTTGCCATCTGTTGGAAGGAGACCCAGGAAAGCAGGTGGCGCCATTCGGTCCAAGTGCAAAGGTCTGGGGACCAGGAGAACAGATGGCGTGAGTCCCGTCCTGAGCGCAGAAGAAGATGGATGTTGCAGGTCAGCAGTCAGGCAGAGAGAGAGAGCAGAGAGAGAGACAGAGGGACAGAGGGACAGAGCCAGCGTTCTCCCTCCCTGTGTATTGTTGTTCTATTCAGTCCACCCGTGGAATGGGTGGTGCTTAGTCACACTGGGGAGGGCCACCTGCTCTGCTCAGTTCATCAGTTCACATGTCAGTCTTGTCCAGACACACCGACACCCCCAGAAACAGACTTCCGGGAAGCCCAGCCAAGTGGACCCGCGGGACGTTAACCATCACAGGACGTGCGCCCATCCTTTCTTCAATTTCTCAGTCGTGGATGTCTCTAGCATGACACCACAGTTATTTTTCTAAAGAGGAAAAAGAAATTTAACCTAATCTAATCTAAGCTGAGAAGCAAAGTTTCTACATAAAATATATATATATATATATATATTTTTTTTTACTAAGACCTTGAACATTGTAATTAATAATAAAATATTCAGCCTGAATATTTTCACAGGCAACGTCCCTTTTCCCCTCCGTTCGGAAGACCTTTCTTTGACAACATATTTTTACGACACAGAAGCCTATCAAATAAGTGGCCTCCACTTAAGGTTTCTTTTAATATTTTACCACATTTAGATCCTGCAAAATTGCAGGCTTCCTCAGTGGTCCTCCCTTCTGACACAGAATATGAATTCATCTCATTAAACAGAAGACCTCGATCCCAAGGCCCCTCTCCCAGGCCAGGATATTTCAGAGCACAATCCCACGGTTTTGAAACTGAATCCTGCCTGTTGGGCTGTGCCCTCGTGGTTTAACTTGCTCCGTTGATCCCATGCTTCCACAGGGATAAACTTCAACATCTTCCTGTTTTCCAGCCCCCCCCCGCCCCCTCCCTGCTCCAGTGACTGCAGTTTGCTAAAAGCTTGAAAAGCTAAGTTTTGTGATGCCCCATTGTTCAAATACTCTGATTGAAGAGTTGCGTCTGGTTTTGAACAGAGTCTCAGATCTTTTTACAGAGCAGCTCAGCACCAGTGTGGGGCACGCAGGTGAACGTGCAAAGCAGTTCTCCAGCGGCTCAGACAGCCGATCGTCGGGCGGGAGAGACAGCGCACCCTGCTTGGGTGCCTTGTGCTTCCTCAGACCTACGTCGTGGGGGCACTCCGAGGTCCACTTCCTCTGAATGTGTAGAAGTACAGCTAAACGCTTACAGCTAGAGCTTTGCATGAGTTATTAGGGCTGCGTCACAGGTCCGCCCTCCCACACACCCACCCCAAACCGAACGGCTTAACACAACACACAGTTGTTATGTGACAGTTTGGATCCAGGCAGAGCTTGGCCGGGTCCCCCCATAAGGTGGGAATCCAAGTGTCAGCCCAGATCACTAGCATCTCAAGGTTTGATGGGCCCGGGGGGTGGGTGGGGGGTGACCCGCTTCTAAGCTCACTCATGCAGCTCATGGCGGGTTCTCCCCAGCCATTGACTGAAGACCTGGGATGTCTGCCACATGGCTTCTCCACAGGATGTCCACAGCGTGGCAGCTTGCCTCTCCCAGAGTGAGATAGAGATCAGGAAGAGATGGAGCGAGAAACAGGGAAGCCGAAGGCAGACCTTTCCTGGAAGAGTCACAGGGGGGAGTCCCTTCCCTTTTGCTGCATACATTCTGTTCATTAGAAGCAAGTCGCTCCGTCCGGCCCAGACTCCCGGGGACGGAATTACCAGGGCGCTGAGGACCAGGTGGTGGGGCTCCTCGGGGTCCACTTGAAGGCAGCCCGCCACGGCTTTTACTTCTCCTGGTAGACGGTCAGAACTGACTGGGTTACCTATGCCCTGTTATCAGGTTCTGCTCCCCAAGGTTTCTTAATTTAGTGCACTGTTGCTTTTTTTTAAGTCATGATTTTGTACCACACTAAAATCTGCATTCATATTATTCCTATGAAAACAAATACCTATTTCGTCTTCAGCGCTGATCTTTTCGCTGAATCTACAACAGCGTTCACAGTCATATCAGATATTTCATTCTTTCTTCAACTGAACAAACTTCCAAAAACTTTGCTTTGAGTTCATGAATTGGATGAAAAAATCTGAACTGTTGTTGTAACAAATTTTTTTCTTTACTAACTTTTTTTTGAGGGGGGCAGGTAATTGGGTTTATTATTTATTTGTTTTTATTTCTATTTTTTATTTTTGTTTTTGGGGGATTTTAGGGGGAGGGTAGGTAATTAGGTTTATTTCTTTATTTTTAGAGAAAGGACTGGGGGTTGAACCCAGGACCTCGTGCATGCTGAGCACATGCTCTACCTCTGAGCTGTACCACCCCCTCCATAACAACTGATTTTTCTTCAGAGCATCTGATACAAAAGTCAGCATCGCTCATCTGCTC